CTCGATGATCGGCTCCGATGAAGGGCGAGTCATGGGTGGTGGACGGTGGCGTGGCAGTTGGCTGGTGGTTGTAATATACGGGTGAAGCACTCTGATGTGGAATGATGGGCTGATGTACCGGTCTATTAGTAACAGTAGATGGGCGGTAACAGGGGTGATCATGTGGCTGATTTGGAATGGTCCACAATAAAGCGGTCGAAGTTTCGGTACGATGAACAGTCTTAAATTCTGTATGTTGAGCAGTACATAATCCCCTGAATGGTACGTGATTGGGCGGCGGTGACAGTCAGCATTTCTCTTAGCGATGACGATTGCTTTTTTTATTGCTTCTGCTGCTCGTGCTCACGCAGCTTGCAGTATCTCGGCGAACTGTTGAGCGCATGGCGTGGGGTTGTCCGGACTCAGCGTCGTGGGCACTGTTGTATTTTGGCCATAGTTTAGGCAAAACTAGGACTGCTGCGTCGTCGCTGACGTGGCGTTGTTGTAGGCAAATCGATTAGCGGTAGATACTGCTCCCATGTTGTCGGGTTTTTGCCCGTGGCTCCATGAATCAGTTGCTCCATGGTCTGGTTTGTCCGTTCCGTTTGATCGTCGGTCTCGGGGTGGTACAACGAGCTGAACTGTAGCCTAGTCCCGAACTTCTCCCAAAGATTCTTCCAGAAGTTGCTAGTACGCTTCATGTCGCAGTCGCTGATTATCTCGGCTGGTATCCCGTGCAGTCGAACAACGGGTGGCGATGAACAAGCTAGCGGTTTCTTCGGCTGAGATTGATTTCGTGCATGCAGCGAAATGGGCCATTTTCGTCAGTATGTCAACGACGACCATAGTCGCGTCGTTACCCTCAGGGTTCGAAGTTAACCCCATGACAAAATCCATGGTAACCTGCTGCTAGGTGCGCTCGAGTGGTGGAATCAGCTGCAATCGACCCGCCTTTCTTTTTCGCGAGCCCTTCATCACCTGACATGTAGGACACGACCCCATGTGGCGCTGTACGTCAGTCAACGTCGGTCAACCGCTGCAGTTGCTGTCGCATTTTTTCTACCCCGAAGTGACCCGATGTAACCTTGTCGTGTGCCTCCTACAGTAGTAGTGCCCTCAGTAGTGAAAAATGGGTGGGTGCGGTATCCGTGGGTGAATAGTCCTGGTAAAAGCGGGTTGTTTTGGGCGAGTAGGATGGCGTGAAGTTGGGCGGTGAGGCGGGTGAGTGTGTCAGCAATGTTCGACGTTCCTTTTTTGTACGTGACAGTCTAGTGGAAGTTGGACTCCAGATAGTTCAACTAACGGATCTATTGCAGATTGAGATTTGGTTGGGCGTGGAGGTACTGTAGTGATCTGTGGTCTGTTCGTACTGTCACGTCGGCTCCGATGTGGTGATATTGCCACACTTTGAACGCGTGCACGATCACCAGCATCTCATGGTCGTGTATCGGATAGTTGCGTTCGGGGGGGTGAAGCTTGCATGACTCGTACGCGGTTGGCTGAAGGCCGTTCCCAAAGTCCTGCAACAGTACGGCTCCCATGGCGATATCACTTGCGTCAGTAACCAGTTCGAATGGGTGGTGTGGGCCAGCAATGTGCAGTACATGCGGCGAGCATAAAATTTTCTTGAGGGCTGAGGAGGCAGCTTGCTCTTTCTTCCCCCACGTATACTCAACCCCCTTCCTTAGCAAGTCGGTCAACGGGGCAGTCAACTGCGCCATGTCGGGGACGAACCGTCGCACGTAGTTGAGCCCCAGAAAACTCTGCAACTCGGTCAAGTTGGTTGGTGCGTGCCATGCTTGAGTCCTCACGATGTTCTTTGGGTCTATTTCAACTCCGTTGGCTGAAATAATGTGCCCTGAAAACTCCAGCCTGTCCTGTAAAAACTCGCATTTCGATGATTTGGTCAACAGGCGATTCTCAATCTGTACTTTAAAAACTGCTTCGATGTCCTGTAGGTGCTGTGCTCTGTCTAGGCTGTGGATCAGTATGTTGTCTAAGCAGATGATTACACACTTTTCTAAAGGTGGGTGGAAGGCTTCGTTCATGGTCATTTGGAAGGTCGTAGACGCGTTGGTCAGTCGGAAGGGCATTACCGTATACTTGAACGATCCATAGCGGGTTCGGAAGGCGGTTTTCGGTCAGTGGGGCGGATTGACTCGGATCTGGTGGTAACCTCCCCGAAGGTCAATTTTCAAGAAGACTCGGGCTGTGCGAAGTCGGAACGCGGGATGGGGTTGCGAGACTTTTTGGTAACTCGGTTCAGTGCGCGGTAATCTATGCACATGCAAAATTCCCCGTCTTTTTTAGGTGTAAACAGTAGCAGTGTTGCGAAAGGCGGCGAAAAGGCCCAGTTGGACGAAAAGCAAAGACCAAAAAAAAAAAAAAAAAAAAAAAAAAAAAAGGCGACAAACTCGGGCGAATGGACTTTTTCTCAAGCAGGTAATCCTGCTGCTTCCGTTGCTTGTCCAGATCGGGTTGGGTCAGTTGAAACTGTTGCTATAAGTTGTGCCCCCGGTTCTATTTCAATCCTGTGGTCGTGCGGTCGCAGAGGTGGCAGTCCCCCCGGTAGGCCATCCGGAAAGATCTCGCTATACTCCTTCAGTAGTGCTGCCAAGTCATCCAGTACGTCGACAATCAGTTTCTGTAAATCGCACGGTTTGTCTGCTACTTCGGCTTCCTTAATGTCAACCACATATATGCCAGCTCCTGCCGCTACGGCGCATTTCATCGTGACTGCATTGACATGCACCGATAAAGACTCGGGCGAGCTCCAGCGAGGTAGGGCGATGTTGTTACCGTTCACTCGGACAGTGAAGTCACCCGTCGTCCAGTCGATTCGCGGGTTGTGTCATTGCAGCCAAACATGGCCGAGTAAAATGGTGGTCCCGTCCTAGGGTCGTTGCAAGCATTTCCTGGGCAAATGTGAAGCTACCAACGCATCGGATCCGAACTCGGTCCACACATTCCCGTATCGCCAGTGTGTCAGATTTATATGACATAGCTACTGTAGGCTATAGCGGGGTAGCACATATGGGGTACAGTTTTCTAGGGTTCACATTTGTACCCAACTTTCCCTTAGTCAATCTCATTCCTCGTTTCTTCTCACAGTGGCGTGCCGTCGGCCGGGTGTGGTCGATTGCGTGAATTGGCACAATCACTCGGTGAAGGTTGGTTGTGTCCAGGGAGCGGCATGACCTGTCAGTATAGGGCCCGTCTACTACTGACTCCCAGCGTTTCCTTGCTGTTTGTCTGTTTCCGCTGCTTAGCTTCCCCCTTTCCCTTAGCGTTTTCTGGGTATTCGCTCTTACGGTGCCCCGGCCTGTTGCACGCAAAGCGGCGCTCTTTGAACAATGCGCAATGGCATTTGCGGCGACAGCGCGTATCACGTTCATCCCACGAGGCCGATATCCCCAACTGTTGTTGTTGCCGTAGGATCCCGGTCTCGGTGGGCGTAAGAAGTCGAGCTTCTCCGCCATAGCGAGAATCTCATTGAATTCTGTGACGTTGCACAGCCGAATCTTTTGAGCGATTTCGTGATTCAGGCCGTCGATGTAGCGGTCGATACGCTCTCCTTTATGCATGTAGCCCACCTGCTCGCACAACGCCAGTAACCCGCTGGTGTAGTCGTGGACGGAACCAAGCTGGCACCAAGTGCAGAGCTTCTAACGCGTCGCGATCGAAGCCGCAATTGGCTCGAATCTCGCGTGTAGACTTGCGCACCACGCGTCCCACGTATGATACTGGGGTGCTTCTACAAAATACGACGGTGCTCAGGGTCCTATTTGTCCTTCTCGTGTCGGTAGAGTCTCATAGTTCACCGGCTTCGTGACGATGACACGCCACCAGTCCATGGCGGGCCCTCGCAGCAGCGACATGTCGTATCGAATCTTCTCCAAGTCCTCCAAGACGTAGTTGGCGTCGAAGAAGAAGTTCATCGTAAACAACCATGCCTGAGTGGTCGGACCACCCCGTTGGCTTGGATCGAAGCAAGGCGGACGCTGTGGCTTGAGCGGCATCGGAGACGGCAGTGCTGAGTCGCCGATCGGCACCGAAATTGTGACGCGAGGTTGGCTCCTGGCCGCATTTATCACTCCAAGGTGTGTCGCGTCGTGGTCATCGCGATGATTGCACTAGGTGTCAAACGAGTACAAGTATGAGCGAAGGCAATGGGCGAATACTTATGTGCGAACATGCAAACGGTTACGCGATGCGTGCGAGTAGCTATTGCTAGGCTGGCATTGAGGCTCGGGTTAGCCCCGAAGTGTAGGCCGGCTCGGCCAGACCAGCGGTGCATGGTTGCGCGAAGTTGGCGAAGCCCCGTTTAGCAGTAGCGGGCGAACAATGACCGCTTCTGTACGCGATTTTGAGGAATGCGGTAAGGAATGCCAAAAACGTCCTTACAATATACATATATGCATACATATATACATATAGTTGTATATATACATCACACTTCAGGCTGTTGAGGAGCGGTTCAAAGCGTTGTAGAGCGCACAACATCGTACTCAAACGCGTCCTACGAACTGCAAACACAAGACTCGCCTCCAACACGATTATTCCTTCTCGCAAAGCGAGGTCGAAAACCATCCCTTACACGATCTCGTACCGTCCTTCACGCGTCATCGCAGTCGCAGTCGCCGATTTAATTATCGCTTGTAATAACTCGGCAGGAACTCGTCTCGCGTTTCCATTTCCAGAATCCCGCGAAATTATTGAGTCGTCTGAGGAGCACTGTGCGCCGTCCCGACTCAGTCGAGCTGCACTTGCGCGATTTACGCCGCCTCGGGTCGCCTTTTCTCTAACAAGACATTTCGCGTCAGAGAAGTATAAAATGGAGCCGCATCAGCCATTTTCAAATCACCTCTTATCACCAGTCCGCTCGCCCTTGTTACCCCAGCCTTACCCGAGCATAGTTCAGTTTAGCGCCAGAAGCGCACTTATACCATCCTGATCCGCAAGGATTTTCAATCATCGTGCTCATTCTACTTCCGACCTCGCCCAGTCTCGGTCATTTGGCAATGGCTTTCGACAGAATGCTGAATCTCCTCTGCTCTGCGTTCGGTGAGTTGTCAGACTGAGTCGTCGTTTCAATGAGTGCTCGAATCCGATGCTGTTGGAGTGGGGTGAGTGTTCCAACCGTTGCTGCTATAAATAGGTCTGTGCTTAGATCAGTGGCTCATAGCTTTCGGGCTGGTGAGTTTTCCGTCTCCTGTCCTTTCCTCTGCTTCCCTCTCTTGTTTTTCAATCTGCTTCCCTGTGCTTTCCTTTACTTACCTCCCTCTCCGCTTCTTTCCTGCTCTTCCCTCTCCATTCCTGAGCTTCCCTCTCTCCTGCTCTTTTTTTTCTGTCCTGCTCTTTCCTTTCTCTCCTGCTCTTTCCTCTCCTCTGCTGCTCTTCCGTCTCCTCCTTCTCTTCCCTCTCCTCTCCTCCCTCTTCAGTCATGTTCTCTCCTGTTGGTCCATTTCCTCTTCTTCCTGCTCCCTCTCCTGTTGTTCCCTCTCCTGTTCTTTCCACGCCTGTTCGCTTCCTCTCCTGTTCTTCCCATTCCCATTCTTTTCCCTCCTCCTCTTCTCTCATATTCTCTCTTCATGATCCCCTCCCTCGCTTGTCCTTCCATTTCCTCCCATCCAAATCCCACCCCCTTCTCCAGTATTCGCAATGCTCACCTTGGCACTCGCTGTGCCGGCTCTCGCTGACGTCACAACCACTGAAGCCATGCCTGCTGCTGACGTCACAGCCGCCAGCACTACCACTGACTCACAGCTCGCCACTGCACCTCGCAAGCTGCTGCTGCTGCTGCAAGCCTCCAATCCCACGCAGGTCAAGGGAGCACGCGTGGTAGCGAGGCAGCTGCGGCACTACCGTCGTGGCCGCAGCAGCGGTGGCGGCCGTAGCAGCGGTGGCGGCCGCAGCAGCAGTGGCAGTCGCAGCAGCGGTGGCGGCAATGGAAAAATGGACAAGGCGGCAATTCTCGAGGAGCACAACAAGGCGCGGCGGGCAGTGGGTGTGCCGGCCCTCTCATGGGACGACAAAGTGGCAGCAGCAGCGAAGCAGTGGGCTGATCAGCTCGCCTCCAGCGGATGCAAAATGAAGCACGGCGGGGCCAAGGGGCTTGGGCAGAACCTGTACTGGAAGCGCCCCGCGAAGCTGAACAGTGACGACGACCGGGCGGCGGTGCGGTCGTGGGTGGCGGAAAAGAAAGACTGGACGTACAGTGCCGTGCCAAAGGGGTGTGTGGGCGGCAAGATGTGTGGGCACTACACGCAAGTGGTGTGGAAGGGTACCCAGCGTGTTGGGTGCGCTGCTGCCAAGTGTGCGGATGGGGGGGGCATGTGGGTTTGCGACTACTCGCCGCAGGGCAACATGGTGGGGTCGACTCCGTATTAGCTACCGTAGCACCCGTTTGTAGTGCAACGGTGCTTGGCTGTTGGCAGACCTCGTTGGTATGCAAGGTGTAGTCTGCAAGTGGGCTGCGATTCCAAGAATTCAATATTAAAGAATTGAGGCGTACTGGTATCAAGCATGGAGGATGGTGGGCTGAATGTGATACACCCTCATATTTATTTGCTAGCCTTTTCCTCATCTCAAATGCTCATGGATGGATGTTGTGGCTTTTTATACATACCGGATAATCAGCCATAGACCATGTGACATACACCATGTGACATGCACATTAATACATAATCAATGTGCCGGGCATTCAACATGTGAGTGTGACATACACTATGTGAGATGGCCTGAGTTTAAATATGACCCTTGGTTATTGTAAGGAAGTTCACAATCCTTACACACTATCTAGACAGCCATTTGTCTTATATAGGAGCTGAGTGTTTTTCTTCACTACACAGCTGTATCGTTGCTGCCACGTGTGGGAAATTGAATTGAGAGTTCTCTGTGCGACTTGTGTCAGTTTCACAGGTCTGACCGACCAACCTCAGCGAGCGTTTGCGCGTGGGAGCGCCTAGGTGCACCCACACCGAGCCACAAGGCTATGCGAGCTGCACCAAAGCTCAGGTTTGCGGGGCTTCGCAAAATCCAGTAGGAACGTGTGACTGCCCACCTGACCAAAGCGAACTACCAGGTTCGTTCTTCCTGACTCTCGAGTCTCGGGATGACCTCCGATCCGAACTACACATGAAGTTCCAACATATATGTGATTGGTTCAAAGCAGACTTCTGGGTGGTTTGGGTACTCCACACCGCACCACTTGGCTCTCCCACACTCACGTGTGTATTTCTGAATGTGCCTGCCCACCCGCAAGCCTCTGCTACTGTACTCTCACCAGGATTCCTGCGATCGCCATTGCTGCTACGAGGTAGGTGCGAGAGGACTGCGAAGGCTTCAGATTTGGATCATTGCTGTGGTGTGCCTCCGACGCATCAGAGCTTATGCTGTGTGCATTCAATCGTTGCTGTCTAGCCTCCGTTCTGGGAGTCTCTGACAGACATCGTGCTCATAGCTGAGGCTAGAACGATTTGTGTAGTTGAAAATTTACGGCTGTTTCTGTAGCGTCCCACCGCGAATACGACGTCTTCGCGACTCGCGGACAATCGAGAATTCGCAGTCAACCGTCTCGCAGCCGATTATTGCCAACCGAGCACTCTCATCCACTCGCAGTCAGCTATTTAAATTCATCTGTTCACAGTCAGCCATTCGCGATGTTCAACAATCCGCAGGCGATATCGCCGGCGGGGGCATGGGCGATGAATATCGTGAGCTCCGTGGGGCTCATCATGATCAACAAGGTCGTCATGTCCTCCTACCGCTTCGTCTTCGGTGCGTTCTTCGACTTTAGTACGCCTTGATTAGATGTAACAGGTGCATTTACTACGCCAGTCGACCGAAGGCGCGTCTCCTGCGTGGGGCTCATCATGATCAGCAACGTTGTTATGCTCTCGAAGCGTCACTCATTCCTCTTCGATGCGTCGCTCATCGGTCTATCGTGTTGCTCGTTCTTCGTCAATGCGTCGCCCATTCGTCTTTGATGCGTCGCTCGTCATGCATTCTTATTTGGCTCGTCGCTCATATCAACGTTATGCTGACTTGTCCTCGGTACGTCTTAAACCTAGGTACGCCATATATTCGCTTTACTTGGGTACATTCACGCAGACATCCTTGATCGTTTACAGATTCCGTAGTGGGTGCGACAAAGGTCGCGCTTTAACAAAGATGAAAAGGACGCCAGCTTTCACCAATCCGTTCGTTATGCAATCCATGTTTCGTGGTTCTTGTACGCTCGCTCTTCGTCAAATGCGAGTCGATCCCGTCGCGTTCGCGCGGTTAATCACAATGCGAGATGTGTTTTCAACTTACCCGAGAGCCGTCGAAGCGGCAGCAGAGAGGAATGCTTCGCGAAGCCGCGAGTGTACCAACTGGGCGACCTCACGTGCTTCTCCCTCGAGGCGTATCTCGAGCTGCCGTCGAGAGAGAGAGAGAGAGGAAGCACTCCTCACATTTCCCTCCTCACACGTTTCCCTCCTCACATTTCGCTCCTCACATTCCCCTCCTCACATTTCCTCCACACATTTCCCTCCTCACATCCCCGTCCTCACATTTCCCTCCTCGCATCCCCCTCCTCCCATTCCCCTCCTCACGCCCACATTTGTCACACTCACCTCCTCGCATGCACATGCCTATCCAGCACACCCCGCGTGGTACTACCTGTCAGGGCAGACCATCGTCCCTCTGTGGGACACACAATGAACCGCGTTCCCTCTGCTCCACGGTCCCCCCTCCCCCCGTTCCCGTTTCTCTTCACTCCCCCCTCTCTCCCCCAACCCACCTCCCTACCCACGACTAGCCACCAACGAAAAGTGCGTCCACCTCACGTGGGTGTGACTGGGGTCCTCGTCGCAGCAGGGGTACTCGTCGCAGCAGGGGTACTCGTCGCAGCAGGCCATCATCTCAGAATGAGATACGCCCGAACTCGCGTTCCCGCTTTTCCTCCCTCCCGACTCTCTCTCCACTCCCCCCCACTTCCCATCCCACCAGCCACCGCCCTCACCAGATTCCAGCTGACGTTCACAGTACTGTTCGGGACGCTGTGCGTGTTGCTGGGGTACTTTTCTCTCGGGGAAGTCCAACACCCCTCAGTGAGACACACATAAACTCGCTCCTTCTCCACCCCCCAACCCCTTCCTCCTCCTCCCCCCCCCAGCCAACACACTGACCTGCTTCCACCTCACGTTGACGGAGCTGTTTGGTGCCCTCTGTGTGTGGCTGGGGTACCTATCCGGCCAGGCCAACATCCCTCTGTGGGACACACGAAACCTCATCCCTTTCCTCCTTCCCGTCTCTCTCCCTCCCCATTCTCCACCTCTCCGCCCCCACCACGCCCCCTCCACCAGCCACCACACTGACGGGATTCCACCTCACGTTCACCGGCCTGTTCGGGGCGCTGTGCGTGTGGCTGGGGTACCTGTCGGGGACAGCCAACATCCCTCTGTGGGACATCGTGTGGTTCGGCATGCTCGCCAACCTCTCCATCGTCGGCATGAACCTGTCGCTTATGTCTAATTCGGTCGGGTTTTACCAGGTGAGCAGGGGGGGAAAGAGGGAGAGAGGGTGAGAGATGGTGCCTGTCGGGAACGGCCAACATCCCTCTGTGGGACACCGTGTGGTTTGGCATGCTCGCCAATCTCTCCATCGTCGGCATGAACCTCTCCCTCATGTCCAACTCCGTCGGCTTCTACCAGGTGAGCGGGGGGAGATGGAGAGTAGTGCAGTTTCCATCGCAGGTTAGGGTTTTCCTTAACACGCCCCCCCCCCCCCCACAATGCTCGCCAACCTCTCCATCGTCGGCATGAACCTCTCGCTCATGTCCAACTCGGGTGGGCTTCTACCAGGTGAGAGAGAGGGCGAGAGGGGATGAGGGGGTGAGAGAGGGAAAAAGGAGTGGGTTTTGGGCAAGTTTGTGGGGTTCAGGCAAGTTTGTACAAAAGGCTAGTAATACAAAGTAAAGTCGGCAACTAGTGTGTACAAGACTCTCCCACTCGCGAACGCAGATTCCAGGAAGTTGCAGGAGTCATACCCACCACAGCACCCTTAAACCCGATCCCCAACCAAGTCCCCATAACCCCCTCCCCACCCACGTTCCATTCCCCCTCCCCGTTCACGTTCCCTCCTCCCCCCATCTCTCCATCAGATATTGAAGCTCGCCATCATCCCATTGACCTGTCTGTGTGAGACGTTGCTGCACGCCAAGTCAAGCTCTCACACCCTCCACACCACCCCTTAACCCTCTCCCATCCATCTTCCCCTTCCCCGTCTCCTTCCCCCTCTCTCCCCCCCCATCAGATATCGAAGCTCGCCATCATCCCAGTGACCTGTCTGTGTGAGACGCTGCTGCACGCCAAGGCCTACTCAAGGGAGGTCAAGCTGTCAGTGGTCGCGGTCATGCTGGGAGTGGGCGTGTGCACCGTCACTGACATCTCCGTCAACGCGTTTGGGCTCGTTACTGCGACTGTGGCGGTGGTTTCTACGTCGCTCCAGCAGATTGTGAGTGTTCTTCATTCAGCAGCAGAGGTTGCCTGTAGGGTACTGGAGGTGGGGGTAGCTGGGAGTGGGCGTGTGCACCGTCACTGACATCTCTGTTAACGCCTTTGGGCTCGTTACCGCTACTGTGGCGGTGGTGTCGACGTCGCTCCAGCAGATTGTGAGTGTTATGGTATGATGCAGCAATACCGTTTTTGAGTGGTAATTGTGGCTGGCAGGGGTGGGTGAGTGCAGTTGGGTGCGTATGGGTTGCTAGGCGTGGGCGTGTGCACCGTAACTGACATCTCCGTCAATGCGTTTGGCCTCGTTATCGCTACCGTGGCGGTGGTTTCTACCTCCCTGCAGCAAATCGTGAGTGTTTTTCATAAAGCAGCGCAGGCAACCCGTAGGCGGGGGGTGAGGGTGGCAGTCATGCTAGGCGTGGGCGTGTGGCACCGTTACAGACATCTCCGTCAACTCCTTTGGGCTCGTTACGGCTACTGTGGCGGTGGTATCGACATTTCTGCAGCAGATCGTGGGTGTTCCTCGTTCAGCAGCGCAGGCAGACTGTAAGGGCGTGAGAATTGCTGGGGGTGGGCGTGTGCACCGTTACAGACAGTTCCGTCAGCGCCTTTGGCGTCGTTACTACCAATGTGGTGGTGGTTTCTACCTCCCTGCAGCAAATTGTGAGTGGCAGGAAGGGGTGCGATGGGATGTATGGCAGGAAGATGGGAGACGGTGCATGTGGCAGAGTATGTTGGGGTGGGGGTGGTTGCGGATGGTCGTGTGCACCGTTACTGACATCTCCGTTAACGTCTTTGCTTGTTACTGCTACTGTGGTGGTGGTTTCCACGTCTCTATAGCAGATTGTGGGTTTTATGATGTGCTGCTCGGGCAGACAGCGCCCATTTGCTGCCGGCCATCTTTCGTCATCCTTGTCCTACCTACCTTCCTCACCTGCTCCTCTGTTCCCATGCTTGTTCTTGCCCCTCAGTTCGTGGGCGAGCTGCAGAGGAAGCACAACGTGGGGTCGTTTGATCTGCTGCGCCAGACAGCGCCCATCCAGGCCGTCACCCTCGTGATTGTCGGGCCCTTCCTCGACTACCTCCTCACCTCGCAGAACCTTCTTGAGTTCCCCGTCACCAGCAACGCTGCGGTGGGTGTCTTAACTTACTGATCGCAATAGACAGACCGACAGACCAACAGACAACGCCCATCCAAGCCGGCACTCTTTTGCTGCTCATGCTCTTTCTTAACTTGCTCTTTACCTTCCACAACCTGCACGAGTTTACCATCACCAGCAAGGCTGCTGTGAGTTGCATGATCATACATCACAATAGACAGACAGATTGACCGACAGGCAGGCATCGCTAATGCGAGCCATGTCACGTTTCCCATCACCAGCAATTCTGCCGTGACTTGTTGTATAGCACTTCGCAACAAAGGTGTATGCAAAGCTGTGGAGGGCATTTGGAACTGAAAGAAAGGGGAATCGCGTCTCCTCTTGACTGAATTGTTGGGTTTTGACTCTCGTTTTCCTTATCTCCTTCCGTTGCTCTTGCTTCCCATACACACACCAACTATTTTCCTGCTCCTTCCAGCCTTCCCTCATTACCTTGTTCATTCACATCTCCACTTCATTCACATCTCCACTTCATTCACATCTCCTCTCCATTCACAGTCACATTCCATGCCTTTCGATTGTAAGTCTCGGGTTCGAATCCCAATGTGTGCTCATGCTGGCGCTGCCGCTGTGCCAGTGCCCTAGGGCATCCCTGTGAGAGGGGGTGTAAGACCAGCACTGGGGATGCCTGATTGATCCTATGGAAGTGAAACAGGCTCGCTGCTTGGGGGGTTATGGCCGCACTGACCCGCTACGTAACAAACTTTTTATCCTAGCGGTTTAGTGGCTGGGATTATGACATTGATTCATGTTTCAATTTCCTTTCCAAATCTTCCTTACCATTCCCCTCTACCCCCCTCCACCTCTCCCCACTCCAGTTCATCAAGTTCCTCTCTTTCGCCTTGGCCACTAAACCCCATTGACCTTTGGCTCATGCACGTTCAATTCCCTTCCTCATCTCCCCATATCGCCCTCCACTCCTCCCCACCCCTCCCCCACACCAGCTTTTCATCTTCCTCTCGTGCGCTTTTGCCATTGGGTGCAACCTCTCCGTGTACCTCTGCATCGGAAAGTTCTCGGCAACGTCCTTCCAGGTGCTGGGGCACATGAAGACGGTGGTGGTGCTCATTCTCGGCTGGACTGTTTTCAAGGACCCCTTCACTCTCAAGAATTTCAGTGGCATGCTCATGGCTATTGTCGGTATGCTGTTGTATAGCTGGGCTGTGGAGAAGGAGAAGGGGGAGAAGGGCGGGAAGGAGGGCAAGGGAGGGAAGGAGGGGTTGCCGCTGCTGCCGGTGCAGAAAGGGGAGGAGGGAGGGGGAGGCGGGATGGGGGAGGAGGGGAAGGGGGATGTGGAGTATGGGGGGGTGATGGGGGAGAATGGGAGGAGGCCCAGCTCCCCGACAAAAGGGGGGAGAGGGTTGTTGTAACAGGACCTTTCAGGCGATAACAATGTTTATACAGATAGAATACAAGTTCTAATTAACTCGTAATGTTAATGGATTTCTTGTTTACAGTGAAATATCTCGCTTTATTTCTCCCCTCCTGTCCCCCCCTTCTCCAGCTACTGTGATTTTAACCACTTAGTTCTCAATGTTACGAGTATGTATATGAATATAACACACCATGCATGAATATTTTAGACTACCTCAAATTTTGCAGCATACCCCCCACAAAAGCACAGCCCACTCACAAACTATACCCTGCATACTAACGAGATCTCCCAGCAACATTCTACTACATACGGGTGTAATACGGACTCTTCCCAACCATGTTGCTCTGCGGCGAGTAGTCACACACCCACATGCCCCCCCCATCCTCACACTGAGCAGCATCGCACCTGACACTCTTGGTTCCCCGCCACACCACCTGCGTGTAGTGCCCACACATCTTGCCGCCCACACATCTTGCCGCCCACACACCCCTTGTTCGTCCAGTCAGCCTACTCCGCCACCCACGACCGCACAGCTGCCCGGTCCATTGCACTGTTCAGTTTGGCAGGGCGCTTCCAGTAGAGGTTCTGGACGAGCCCCTTTGCCCCTCCGTGCTTGTTTTGGCATCCCCTGGAGCCGAGCTCTTCCGCCCACTGCTTCGTGGCATCCACTTTTCCGCCCACGAGAGGGGCCTGCTTCGCTGCTTCTGCTGTTTTTCCGCCCCTGGGAGGGGCTTCTTTCGCGGCATCCACATTTCCGCCCACGAGAGGGGCCTGCTTCGCTGCCTGGGATTGGAGGCATGCACCAGCAGCACCTTGCGAGGTGCAGTGCCGTGCTGCATGTGAGTGGTAGTGCTGGCAGCTGTGACGCCAACAGCAGGCGTGGCTTCAGTGGGTGTGACGTCAGCGAGAGCTGGCACAGCGAGTGCCAAGGTGAGCATTGCGAATACTGGAGAAGGGGTTGGGATTTTGATGGGAGGAAATGGAAGGACAAGCGAGGGGATGATGAGTAGAGAAAATGAGAGAAGGGCAGATGAGGCTGGAATTGGAGAGGGAAGAATAGGAGAGGGAACAAAAAAAAAGAGATAGGGAACAGGCACGGAGAGAACAGGAGAGGGAATAAAAAAAAAGAGATAGGGAACAGGCACGGAGAGAACAGGAGAGGGAATAAAAGAAGGAGGAAAGAAGAGGAAAGCGAGCAACAGGAGAGAACACAACCGAAGGGGGGTGAAGAGGAAGGAACAGAGCAGAACAGAAAGGAAGGAGAGGAGTGGGAAGAGCAGGAGTAGAGGGAAGAGCAGGAGAGGGAAAGGAAGGGCAGGAAAGAAGAGGGAGGTAAGGAAAGGAGAGCATAGGGAAGGAGATGCAAAGAAAAGGAGCGGGAGACACATGAAAGGACAGGAGAGGGGAGTACGGGAGACGGAAATCCAGCGCGGGAGCAATCCGCCACTGGTCTAGGCGCTGCCCTATTCACTTCAAAAAGGTTGGAGCACTCACCCTACCCTAACAGCGTCGGGTCGGATTCGAGCGCTCACTCAAACCGACGAATCTGACTTGACTACTCACCGAACCGAACGCACCTCCCAGAGGGTGGTGTTCGGGACCTGAATCCGACGAATCTGACAAACTCACCGAACGCCGCGCAGAGAAGTTTCAGCATTCCGTCGAAAGCCATTGCCGAAGGACCGAAATCAGGCGAGGCCGGAAGTCGAACGAGAGCTCGCGATTACTAAAAAGTTTCTGCGGCTTTTTTAGCTGTCGTCAGGGTCGAACTGCGGCTGCGCCGACTGAGCTAAAGTCTTGAAGTCTGTTTGGGTAAGGATGGGGTAACACTAGCGAGCGGACCGATGAGAGGTGATTTGAGAATGGTTGATGCGGCTCCATTTATACTTCACGAAAGCGAGCTATCTCGTCAGAGGAAAAGGCGGCCCGAGGCGCCGTAGGTCGCGCGAGTGCAGTTCGTCTTTCGAGATGGTGCAAACTGATCCGCAGACGACTCGATAATTCCTGCGGACTTTTGAAAACGGAAATGCGAGACGAATTCCTGCCGTCTTTTTACAACCAGCTACATCGACGCCTGCGATGGCGCGTGAAGCAGGCGCGAGGCTTGCTTGACGGCTTTCGAGGTTGTAGTGATCATAATCTCGGGACGGACGTAGAATGTAAATCGGAAGGTATGCTGCGGGACTGGGAATAATCGTGCTGGAGTGTCACAGAGAGTGAGCAGGAAATAACCTTAGCGCAGGTCACGCACAGTGAGTTTGCAATACATTACAAAGCGGTTGAGTCCGATGTTGTGCACTCCATAATGACACCGTAAACTGCCAGATAACAGTTACGACTGCGAATGTACTTGCATTAGTTATGGTGCATACACATAAAAAAACGAGTGTGAAAAAACGAAGGAAAATGCCAGATAAACGACATTGGGGTCTTACTGATACAGGAGTAGGTTAAGTGGCACACACGCGCGCATGTCAAAAAACTTTGACAGATACTAGTGTCGAACACAGACTGCTTGCAGGCAGGGCTAACTTTAGTAAAATGACCCGTCTGATGTCAAGACCGGGTCCTGGCTCCTTTTCTGATTGTCAGACGAAATCTGTAACATTGTCTAGCTTTTCAGACGAATCCTAAATACTTGTCTGAGATTTCTGAGAAGATATAAAGCTAGCAAGCATTATGCTATCAAAATATGAATCAGAAAATCAAGTACCAGCCCTAATGGTCCAGCTTGTAGAAGAGGGAGTTGTGTTGATTGAGGTTGCCGGTTCGAATCTTGTCTCCTGCATCTGCCAGGCAAGTGCATACGTCCTTAAAACCAGGGTGCACATTCAATTGGATTTCTGTCAAAGGTTAACCTTTGACCTCGGGGTTACTCAGTGATTTAGGAATATCTGGGGGGAGTGTTCGCTTCAGCAGGTGAACATTTGAACCCTCGAGATTTGGCAAATGTAAACCGAAGTCATCGAATGTGCTTCCGCCAATTCGTTTCCCCCCTCCCCATACCTATTCCGCTCCCACCGAAATTGTTTCCCCTTCCCCCACAATATCGTCTCACCCCCTTTCCCCTTTCCGCCAACCCAGTTGCCCTCCCCTTGATCCCCAATTTCTAGATCCAAGTGTTATCAATTTCTCCCCTGCCAAGCCTCATCTCTCACGGACGAAAAGCCCCATGCTCGCCCATTCTCAACTATTTATTCGCTACTCGTCAACCAATCAGCAGTTCCCGCAAACATGCCGCCCAAAATTTAGCCTGGAGTCGCGTTGAATGTGTACCCTGGTTTTAAGAGTTTTGCCTTCAGACGAAAAAGACTCGATATCTGCAGTCTCAGACGAACTGTATAAGGCTGTCTGAGAAATCAGATGAATAGAAAAAGCTTCTCTTAAAAATCAGACGAAATTAAACAGCATGTCTACGACATCAGATGACCAAGTAAAAATGTGTTCAGAATCCAGAAATTCAGACAAAAAATGTCTGATAAAGTAAGCCTTGCTTGCAGGGTCTTATAAAGCATACAATAACGCTCAAGCCAAGCCCGAGCTAAACATCCAGCATTGCCCCTTCAATAGCATCCCCATGTGCAAATCCATCGCCCACGGCTGCATTGAGTCTAAGAGCCATGGCCCCGTGATGTGACACAAACAGACGCAGCTGTAGCGAATGGGGAGTGGTGCCTGTTAATGGTAGAAGGGCAGAAAAAATAGTTGACAAGGAGACAGGCGGTAGTGTGAAGACAGAAAAACATGAGCAGAGGTAGCTCAAACGGATGGAATGGGCGAAAAATACAGTTTTTTCTTGGTATTGTCAGGAAACTCTTGGTATTGGAAGGAGAGAGTAAGGAGGGGGAGGGGGAGAGGAGGGGGGGGAGGAAAGGGGGTGTGGCGGGATTGGAATGTTCATAGAGTGTGGAATGTTGGTTGGAGGTTCATAGAGTGTGGTTGATATGAGATTGGTAGAATCATAACACTGTCGAATGTTTATGATTGTACTAAGATGGACAATCGTGCAACAGCAAACAATCGAAAAGTCATGCCAACAATCGAAAAGTCATGCCAACAATCGACAAGCCATGCCACCTGGAACTGACGCACGGACGCAACAGGCCAAGATTGTGAGAGGGCAACAGGGGAAGTGAAAAGGTGCAAGCGTGTTCATATTCCCCACCCCCATCCTCTATCCTCTATCCTCACCCCCCATCCTCTATCCTCATCCCCCATCCTCACTCTCTATCCTCAAGCCCCATCCTCACTCTCTTTCCTCTTCCCCATCCTCACTCCCTATCCTGCTTCCCACCCTCACTCCCTTTCCTGGTTCCCACCCTCACTTCCTATTCTCTTTCCCACCCTCACTTCCTATCCTCTTTCCCACCCTCAATCCCTATCCTGGTTCCCACCCTCACTTCCTTTTCTCTTTTCTATTCTCTTTCCCACCCTCAGTTCCTATTCTCTTTCCCACCCTCACTTCCTATTCTCTTTCCTATTCTCTTTCCCACCCTCACTTCCTATTCTCTTTCCTATTCTCTTTCCCACCCTCACTTCCTATTCTCTTTCCCATCCTCTATCCCCAATACTCTGTTTCCACTCCCCCACCCTCACTCCCTATCCTCTTTCCCACCCTCACTTCCCATCCTCACCTTAGCCGGAGGCTCTCAGTCTTCCACGTGACTACGGCTTGAGCAGGTCGAGAGGGCGAGAGGGGAAGGTAAAGGTGCCATTGTGCTGACGTATGTGTCCTCTATCCTCACCCCCCATCCTCACCCCCCATCCTCACCCCCCATCCTCACCTTAGCCGGAGGCTCTCAGTCTTCCACGTGACATTAGGTTGAGCAGGGCGAGAGGGCGAGAGGGGAAGGCAATGGTGCCAGTGTGTTGATATATTTCTCATCCTCTATCCACACTCCCTATCCTCACTCCATATGGTCACGCCCTCCCTATCCTCGCTCCCATCCTCACTCACTCACTACCTTCACTCCCTATCCTGACTTCCTATCCTCGTTCCCTCAGTCTTCCACGTGACCACAGCTTGAGCGGGGCGAGAGGGGAAGGTAAAGGTGCGAGCGTCCTGATGTACTTGTCCTATATCCCCACCTCCCATCCTCACTCCCCAGTCTCACCTCCCATCCTCACCTCACAGTCTCACCTCCCATCCTCACTCGCCATCCCCACCTGCAGCGGAGGGGCTCTCTTTCTTCAACGTGGCCACAGCTTGAGCTGGGCGAGAGGGGAAGCTGAACGTGCGAGTGTGCTGACGTGCTTATCCCCTATCTCATCCCCCATCCTCACACTCTATCCTCACCTCACTCGCCGCCATTCCAACACCCCATCCCCACTTGCAGCAGACGGGCTCTCTTTCTTCCACGTGACCACGGCTAGAGCTGGCCGAGAGGGCGAGACGGGAGGCACAAGTTGTGAGTGTGTTGATGTGCTTATCCTCTATCGCACCACCCATCCTCAATCTCTATCCTCACCTCACCTGCCATTCCCACACCCCATCCCCATCTGCAGCAGGCGAGTTCTGAGTTTTAAATGTGACCACAGCTTGAGCCGGGCAAGAGGGTGAGAGGGAAAGGAGAGGTAAGTTTGTATCCAAACATCTACTCTCTATCCTCGCAACCTATCCTCACCTGCAGCAGGCGGGCTCTGAGTCTTCAATGTGACCACAGCTTGAGCCGGGCGAGAGGGTGAGAGGGCGAGGAGGGGCGAGAAGGTGTGGCGGGGAGTCGGTCGAAGCACCCACTGCAGGTGGTGGAGGGTGGTGAGGGGTGGTGGGGGGTGGAATCACATTGAAAGAATGAACGCTCGTGAGGAGTGACGTGCATGGAAATTGCAAGCGAGCATGTGGCTAACGGCGTATTCCAGGTTGGTGGCAGTGGCAGGGCAACTGTTGATGTTGAGTTGGCGGCATGCGCATTTTCCGCCTCCCTGTGTTTCTGGGAAAGTTGCCACCAGGTCAACGCTCAACAGTTTCCCTGCCATCAACCTGGAATACGCCCTAAGAAAGGAGTGAAACGAGCTTGCTGCAACACCCAGCATGAATCGCCAGGCTACCTGCAGCACCCAGTGCACCCGCCGCAGCAACTTCACCTGCAGCACCCACCCAGGGCATCGGCAGTACCTGCAGCAGCACTCGTGTTCGGTCGGGCTGCTTGCTGTGCGCTGTGACTCGCGCGTACAGCCATGCTCCAGAGGCGATCCTGGTGGGGTGGGGGCTCAGAGATGTGGCGATGGACGGATGAGATGTGGCAATGGACGGATGAGATGTGGCAATGGACGGATGAGATGTGGCAATGGACGGATGAGATGTGGCGATGGACGGATGAGTGGTGATGGACGGATGAGATGCAGCGGAGATAGACGTGTGGGATCGGGACAGTTGATATGTGTGTATGTGTGTGAGTGTGAGTGTGCATGTGAGTGAGCATGTGCGTGCGTGTGCATGTGTGAGCGCGAGCGCATGTGTGAGTGCATGTGTGTGTGTATCTGTGTGTGTGTGCGTGTGTGCTTGCGTGTGTGTGCGCGCATGTCGGAAGGGGCAGAAAAGTACCGGTGGGATGTGGCAGCGTTGAGAGAGAGCATGTGAGAGAGAGAGGGAGAGAGAGCGCGCATGCGTGTGTGCGCTTGTCGAAAGGAGCAGTAAAGTACCGGTGCGATGTGGCAGCATTGAGAGAGAGCGAGTGCGAGAGGTCACAACTCACGGCGGCGCTCACAGAGTGGCCCTCCCGGCGATCACTGAAAGGGGAGGACAGATTTGAGAGAGGAAATGCATTGGGTGCGGTAAATCTGAGCAGGCTTAAAGGCCACTCCACGGGCACTCAAGGGCAATACTAAGGGCACATGTAACAGCAGCGCTCACAGTGTGGTCCCCCATGCATCGCCCGGCTGCTTGCAGGAGCGTTTGGGGAAGTCAAGGAGGAGGCAGTCTGGCAGACTCTGATGCTCGGGCTAGTCTTCATACAGGAAATCCGAAATCACAACGGCGGAACTAGCTTGTGCTAAGGAACGGCTAGAAGTTGATGAGGCGCGAAGAAGCGACACTGAGGATGGGAATCACGATGGGAGAATACTAACAGGGTTTGCAGCAGTGCAGGAGCGTAGATACCTGTCCTCTCCTGTTCATCACAACCACCCCACCTTGTGAGAGAAGATAACATTCGAGAGCACCCACCCTATTCAACACCCACCCTATTCAACACCCACCCTATTCAGCACCCACCCTATTCAACACCCACCCTATTCAACACCCACCCTATTCAACACCCACCCTATTCAACACCCACCCTATTCAACACCCACCCTATTCAACACCCACCCTATTCAACACCCACCCTATTCAACACCCACCCTATTCAACACCCACCCTATTCAACACCCACCCTATTCAACACCCACCCTATTCAACACCCACCCTATTCAACACCCACCCTATTCAACACCCACCCTATTCAACATCCACCCTATTCAACACCCACCCTATTCAACACCCACCCTATTCAACACCCACCCTATTCAGCACCCACCCTATTCAGCACCCACCCTATTCAGCACCCACCCTATTCAGCACCCACCCTATTCAGCACCCACCCTATTCAGCACCCACCCTATTCAACACCCTAATCGGCACTCACCCTATCAGCACCCCATATTATAGATCACTCAGATAGCACCCACCCTATGAGCACCCACCCTATGAGCACCCACCCTATGAGCACCCACCCTATGAGCACCCACCCTATGAGCACCCACCCTATGAGCACCCACCCTATGAGCACCCACCCTATGAGCACCCACCCTATGAGCACCCACCCTATGAGCACCCACCCTATGAGCACCCACCCTATGAGCACCCACCCTATGAGCACCCACCCTATGAGCACCCACCCTATGAGCACCCACCCTATGAGCACCCACCCTATGAGCACCCACCCTATGAGCACCCACCCTATGAGCACCCACCCTATGAGCACCCACCCTATGAGCACCCACCCTATGAGCACCCACCCTATGAGCACCCACCCTATGAGCACCCACCCTATGAGCACCTCTGCTGTGCCCACAGCCCGGCTCCTCGTATCCGAGAAAGCTGTCAGTGCCAGCTGGCACGGCGCTGCGAGACGAGAGGAGGAGGAGGAGGAGGAGGAGGAGGAGGAGGAGGAGGAGGAAGAGGAGGAGGAGGAGGAGGAGGAGGAGGAGGAGGAGGAGGAGGAGGAGGGTAGTTGAGAGGGAGTGGTGGAAGGGGAGGAGAGTGTTGGAAGGGGCAGCACGAGGCGGCGCACCACCCTCAGATGTACCTCCCCCAGATGCTGCCGAGATGCTCGAACGCAGGGCTCTACTGTGGTCCACAGGCCCAGCTGCGTGGGGAGGGGCGGGAGGGTGGAGAGATAAGGAGGCGGGCGGAAAAGTGAATACCAGCAAACTGGTTTAAGCCGCACTGCACTGCACACCACCGCATCTGGTTCGGCAGCTTCTTCTGACTGCTCCCCTGGCCACTGGCCTCCTTGTGCATCTAGTGGGCCACTTAAAACACCGAACAAAACGCATTCAATCGCAGTGAACCGCACTGAGTCTGAACCCACCTTGTGCACTCCGGATAGCTCCACCTCCTCTGCCTGCTCCCCTGCCGGCCACCAGCCTCCCTGCGCCAGCCTCCCCCAGATGCCGCCCGGATGTACAGTGTCACTCGGTTGAACAGTGCGGGCAGCATGGTGAAAGTTATTGCTGCCCGAGAGGAGTCTGAACTGAGTGAGGAGTTGGAATGGTGACGTGGCAGAGGAGGAAGGGGTTTGAAAGGAGAGGGGGAGAGGAATCCACGAGGAAGGAGAGAGTGAGGAGAGGGAAGGAGAGGAGGGCGAAGAGGGAGAGGAGGACGAGGAAGGAGAGGACGGAGGGGAATCCTGATTTGAAGAGCGAGCATTTTCCTTTCTGCTGCCGCCGTTGCCTCGCTTCAACCCGCCATTCTTCCCCCCATTACTTCCGCCATTTCCCGTCTCCGCATTTCTCCGCTCCTCCGCCTTCAAAGGCTTCTCCGGGCGGCGGTTTTGCTGCTGCGCGGGCTGCGCCTGCGCCAATCCCCCAGCTAGCGGCGCAGCGGCGCGCATTCCGCTCGAAAGGGCTGCGGCCATGTGCGATTGCAGCGAGCCGCCGTCGCGAAACAGCGCGCTGCCTTTGCTTACTATAGCGCTGGCGCTAATGGAATTACCGCGGCTGCTTGAATCGCGACTGTGAGAATCTTGGAGAGAGCGACTGGAAGGTTCGGCATCCCGCAGCAAAGAGAAGCCGGCTAAAGACCTCGAGACGTGGTCGCGACGCGACGCGAGGGAATGATCTGCGAGAGCCATTACGGCTCGCAACTGGCGAATGTGGCAGGGAAGTGAAGTATGGAATGTCGCCAATTATCGCACAAAATATAGAGTAGAAGGCCAAAAGGCTCTCTTTTCGAAACCATCCTGTTCAAAACGCCAGACTCTGTGATTCGGATTTGCGATTTGCGTAATGGGCAGTTACCAAATTCGTCCCAATCAGGAGAAAGAGTATTCGACTGTGGCTGTTCGCTTGCAGCCTGCCTCGACTTTGGGTGCCTCGCTGTCCTCGCCAGTAATTGGAGTTCATAGTTTGGCAACACGACCAACCGATCTACTCTAAACATTATCTCCATGGCATAATGGCATTGCAGGTTGTAGCTGAGATTGCACCAGTAACTGTTACCCTAGCCACCCAAAATCTATTCAGCTCCGGCTCGAGCAACATATCAGCAATCTATTCAGCTATGATTTGGCTGTTAAAACCACAACCCATATCTGAATCGAGCCAAGGAACGCATAGGGTTTGGGGTCAATTTAGATGCTTCCACGGATCCTCTAGAAACCTCGGCGAGAAAAACGCTTCCGGTTGCTCCCGTGCCGAAACACTCCCTCTACCTCCCCTCCCTCCTCTCCCTCCCCTTCCTCCCCCTCCTCTTCCTACTCCCCTACCTCCTGCCCCTCTATTTCCACCCCAGACTCCCCCACCCCCCCTCTCTTTCCTATTCCACCCCCCTCTCCCTCCGCCGCCCCCACTCGGACTCGCACCCTCCCCTCCCCTATCGTAACTGTTTCTCCCCCCTCCTTGCCCCTCCCAAGGCCTCTTCCTGCCATCCATGGCCCCCCGCCCACCCCACTGCCCTACTCCTCCCCCTCTGCCCCCATCTCTCCCCCCTCCCTCTCCCTCTCCTCTGCCTTGCCCCCATCCCCCTCTCCCCCCGCCAACCCACCCTTTGCCCGCCTGCTGCTGGTAACCCTGCTGCTGGTAACCCTGTTGCTGGTAACCATGTTGCTGGTGACCCGACCCAGAGTAACTCTGATCTCCTGAGCCAGGCGGAGCCCCCCACGAGGCAGGGGGGAGGTGCATGGGGGAGGCGGCACCAGCCGCGCCTGGGGGCGTCATACCAGGGGGGGTCATACCCGGGGGAGGCGTTGATTGGTAAAGGGGCGCCGAGGGAGGGGTGGCCTGGCGCATGGGCGCGGGCAGGGGGGAGAAAGCCACCCCCATTCCGCCACCCGGGGGGGGATGGCGGAGGATGGGCGCACTGAATGGTCCTGTGCTTGGGGAACCCGCGGAAGGTGGGTGAGGGGCGTGGCCAGGCGGAGGGGTGTAACTGGGCGGCAGGGTGTAGGTAGGGGGCGGGGTGTAGGCGGGAGGAGGCGGGGGCGGGGTGTGCGCGAAAAGAGGGGTTTGGCCAGGGGGAGGGGTGTAGCCTGCGGAGCCGGCTGGGGAAGGAAGAGGTGAGGGCGGAAGATGCGGGGACGGCAAGCGCGGGGAGGAAGTGCGCATGGCAGGCGGGCCCAATCCGGGCCCTACTCGTGACTGCTGCTGATAGGCTGCCATAGGATCTGTGTAGAACGAAAAGCCCCCCGAGCCTGCTGCTGCCCCTGCCGGCCGTCTAGCAGATCTACCTTCCCCATGTCCGCCTTCCCCCGTTGACGCCGGCGCGGATGCATGCAGATAAGCGGAAGGGGAAAAATCGGGGGAGGGGAGTGCGGAGAGCGCGGCGGAAGACACTGGCGCGGGGGACGCCGCTTGCTGCTTCGCCGCGGACTCGCGCATGCCGCGCAGGCGAGATCGGCGCGCCTCTGCGTCTTCCATGCGATAAAACGCGGTCTAGCTAGAGATAAGTTCGCCCTACGTATAGAAAACAACGCGGTCTTTCGATTTTAATCGCGAAAACGTAGAGACGAAGGCCTCACGTACTACGCCGTCACCAAGGGACGTACGACAGGCGGGCAAGTCATTCAATAAGAAGGCGATGAGAAGGCGATGAGAAGGTGATGAAAACGCGATGAGAAGGGGATGAAAACGCGATCCTCTGCTAGTTATTCATGCGAGCACTGTAAGAATCTGATTACGATGCATAGAATCAAGTGGAGCACAGTCGGAGGGATCATATGGACACGACGAGGGGTCCGTTCGCGCGGTGGAGTCGAATAACAACGCTTTGGATGAGCGGATACTTCCAAATCGATCGCGATTGAAAGTGCGAATCAACGAATAGCAAGGGAAAGGGAAGTGGTCTCGTGGGTGGGGGAGGTGGAAGCAGCACACGAGTAGAGTGGTGCAGAGTGGTGTCACGATCAAATCTGACTATGGCAAAAGAAGTTCAGAAATTGTAAATACTCACACAAGTCACAAGCTATTATGGAGCGAAAGGGATCTGATTGAAGCGGGTCTGAATCGAATTTTTCAAATTTGAAATTTCACACAGAGCTCGCATCGCAACACAACGGTATTGAGGACGCATTCAGAATGGTTCCCTGAAATGTATCAACTGCGACACATGGGAGTCATGGGTTCTCGAATCGAACCCTCATCGAGCCCAAGGCCCGAACTTCAAAAATGGCAGAGTGCGAACAGATTGCCTCACGACGGGGAATGAAGTGGAAACACAAGATTTGGTAATCATTTTGCCTCCTTTCAAGCTTTAGTTACCATCTCACACCGATCCAGTTTTTGTCCGAACAGGAAACTTTTACACGCCCTCACAAACTTGGCACCACCCCCCACCACACAGCATGGAGCAAGAGAGGCACCTGCAGCAGCTCAATTGCCTTTCCATATCTGCGTGCAAGCAACTTCATGCACCCCATGTATGCAGCATTGCGGTCATGTGGTGCTAAATCCTCATGGCTGATCTTTTTCATCGCCTAGGAACACTGCCTGTTCGAGACCTCTCTACACAGCCTGCATAGCTAGCGAATTTCTGCCGTTTTTCTCTCGTCTTCTGTCCACGTTGACTCCGCCGCGCTGTCGTTATGATATCGCGACTCGCTGGTCACCGCCCGGTGACCGGCCGGCGCAGATCGACGGCTCCTGCGAAGGGGAGAGATGGAACGAATGCGCGGAACGCGAGCGTTGAGATAGCTGCGATAAGTGCGACGAATGCGATAAATGTGATGGGTGTCACGCACGGGCGGAACGGACAGGACGCAAACATGGATGAGGGTGAGGAGACGAACTTCCTGGAGAAGGTGAACGCAACGAATGTGATAGTAACGGAGGCGAGGAGCCGCGACAACGAAACGAGCGAAATAGGGAAAGCGATGGCGGAATTGGAGGAATGGACAGAGAAGAAGGTGGAGGCAATTTCCGCGCTGGCGGACGCGATTCGGACGGAATGGGAGAGCGGCGCGGCGCCGTCATCTCTGGGCACTAAGGCAGGGCCGCGCAAGCGAGCTCGTGTGGCGGACGGGTCTTCCTCAGAATCGATGGTGATGGTGAGTGCGAGTCGCACATCTCTCAGATGTCACACACACCTCCCGCCTCCAGTGTGTCGTGCACGTCTCGCATGTGTCGCACGAGACTCCCGTGTGTCGCGTATCCGTAGCAGCATCTGTCCGTGCTGTGAGCCATTACAAGAGGCCATCCGTGACGAATGAAAGGGGGGTGGGGTGGGGGTGGGGTGGGGGTGGGGAAGTGGGTGGGGTGGGTGGATGCATGGAACTTACCCTCCTCCCCCCGCCCTCTTTTCCCCCTTGTCCCCTACTTCCCCATCCTAGCATCTGGCCTCCCTGTCAGCCCATGCGGAGGCCATTCGAGAGAAGGTGCGCGGAGTGGGGAGGTCTGTGCGCGGACTTGAGGTTCGGAAGGGGCAGGGGGGAAGAATGGAGGGCGGGGATGAGCGGGGAGAGAACAGGGAGACGCAAATTGGCGAGGAGGATGGGAAGGAGGATCCGGCTAAGGAGGAAAAGGAGGAGGAGGCGGGGGAAGGGGAGAAGGAGGCGCAAGAGGAAGAGGAGGAGGAGGAGGAGGGGGACGAGGAGGGGGGAATGAGGGACGAGGAGGAGGAGAAGACAATTGATCTGGTAGACGAGACGACGGAGGAGGAGGATGAAGAAACCTTGAAGGAGGACCCTACTGGAGAAGAAAGAGAGGAGATGGAGCAAGCGGTGGGAGAAGGGCGAGAGGAGGAGCCAGTGGAGGCAGCAGGAGCAGGGCCCGGGGAAGAGGGAAGAGGGGGGCATGCGGCAGAGAGGGAGGAAAGGGCAGAAAATCGTGAAAATGGGGATGAAGACGCAATGGAGGAGGGTGTTGGGGATAATTATGACTTGGTTGAGGTGAGAGGTGGCATTGAGGTGAGAGGTGGCATTGACTTTGCCTCTCGCGCTCGTTCTGATTCCTTTCTTTTCCATTCCTTGTTCCTCTTTCCTGAATTGTTTCCAGTCTTTGCTGCAAAATTTACCTATACAAAAAATACTCATGTTTACACTTATATACTTATGTCAGCAAACAAGCAGTTGTACATGTCTTGTTACATTCACCTTGTTGCTCCTCTCCATTCCAGCTCTGCACCACCCCTCTGCTCCCTCTCCTTTCACTACCCTGCACCATCCCTCTGCTCCCCCACCCTTCACAAGAAGCCCCTCGCTGCTGAAAACGGAGGGGGGCAGGACAAAGGGGCAGGGTTAGGGGACGAAGCCAGGGATATCGTGCAGGGGGAAGGGGAAGGCGTGGTGGGGAGGGCAGGCGGGGAGCAAAGTGCTGCAGGAGAGGCAGATGAGCCAGTGGGGAACGACCTGGTAGCGTCTGTGGAGCGATGGGCGCGACGGGCGGGGCTGTGCGGAGCAGGAGCAGCAGCAGCAGCAGCAGGGCAGCCTTCACCGAGCAAAGGAGTTGCACGTGGGGAGGTGCAGAGTGCACTGGTGGAGGGGAAACCCACCAATGGTGACGAGGCATTCAAGACGCGGCTGCAGGAGGAAATCGATGCCTTGCTGCTGCAAATCCCTCCCGACAAGCAGCAGATTCCGAAACTTCTGATCAACACAACGGTCTGCTTTCTCTCTTCTCTGCCTTCCACGACACAGCAGACCATCCCTGAAATGCAGCGGCTTAACCCAGCAGCACCGCACATCAACCCTAAATTACATGAAATCACCCTCTCCCACCGAAACCTCCACTAATTTCTCGCACTCGCTCCCACCTGCCGCCCCACACTTCTCCCCTCCCTTACCTCCCTCACACTCGACCAATGCTCTGAGGTCTCTCCCCGTGTCATGCTCTCCTTGGTACACCTCCCCTCCCTCACCTCGCTCTCCTTCCTTCAAACCCCCATTTATCCAGCCGCCCTGTCCCTCATCCAGCCCTTCTCTCGCCTCCACCAACTCGTCCTCGATTGCCCCGGGCCCTTAACCCTGGCCTTCAAATCGGGGCCCTGGCCGTTGAAGAACCTGAAAGTGCTGCACTTGAGCCGGGTGACCAACGCAGTTCTGGAGCAGGTGGGCGTGCTGACAAGCCTCGAGGTCCTCTCCTGCACGAGCTGTGAGGGGGTGAGCTCTATGGGCTGGATTTCGCTGGACCGGCTGAAACGGCTGAGATGGCTCCGTGTGGCACCAGCAGATCTGGACGGTCATGATTTAAGGATGGAGTATCCCAAGGGAAGCTTGCCGGTGGTCTCGCGAGTGTATGCAAGGCCGCAGAAGAAGCGAGAGGGCGTTTTTCAGGAAACGAGTGGTCAGGAGGGTGTTCACGAGGGTGCACACTTGAAACACTCCAAGGAATTGCCACGCCAAGCGGACGACAGTGGGGTGTGGTGTCTGATGTGGGGGCTGCAGCGTCTGGAGCACCTGGAGCTGCATGCACCACCGCGCTACGGAAACGCTTTCATCTCGCTCAATAAGCTGTATCTTCTCACCAGTCTCCACATCACCGGGGCTTACATAGACCATGCCGCTTTCAAATGGTTGACTCATGTGACTTGGTTGACCCACCTCAGCCTGGCCGGCTGCACGTTCCCAACCGAGACCGTGATCCATCCACACTGGAGTATCCCTTTCATTGTGGTGAAGAAAATAGCCGACGCCATGCCGAAGCTGCAGTCCCTCGACCTGTCGGGAACGGCAGTCACCAAAGTCGATATCATCAAGCTGCAATATCTGAGGCACTTGGAGCGCGTGACGCTGCAGCAGTGCTGCAACCTGGGCCAGTCGTTTGTGCGCTACCTCAGCTTCGTGCCGCAGCTCAAGGAGGTCGATCTGAGCTTCAACAACATGCCGGCTGATTGGTTGAGGCACGTTGTGGAAGGGAAGCGGGTGAGAAGGCTGCGTGTGAGGGGGTGTGGGTACAAGAATAAGACAGTGCGTGGGCTTGAGCGGCCTTGGCTTGTGATTGAGTCGTGATGTGATGGTTGTTGCTGGGATCCAAGACGCGTGCTGCATGGCAGGTGGTGTATGGCAGGTGGTGTATGGCAGGTGGTGTATGGCAGGTGGTGTATGGCATGTGGTGTATGGCATGTGGTGTATGGCATGTGGTGTATGGCATGTGGTGTATGGCAGGTGGTGTATGGCATGTGGTGTATGGCGTGTGGTGTATGGCATGTGGTGTATGGCAGTTGGTGTATGGCAGGTGGTGTATGGCAGGTGGTGTATGGCATGTGGTGTATGGCATGTGGTGTATGGCATGTGGTGTATGGCATGTGGTGTATGGCATGTGGTGTATGGCATGTGGTGTATGGCAGGTGGTGTATGGCATGTGGTGTATGGCATGTGGTTTATGGCATGTGGTGTATGGCATGTGGTGTATGGCATGTGGTGTATGGCAGGTGGTGTATGGCATGTGGTGTATGGCATGTGGTGTATGGCATGTGGTGTATGGCATGTGAGCATGTGGTGGTCGAAAATTGAGGTGGATGCGAGTGAAGGAGTACGGTGTGTGGGCTTATAACAATATGGTGTGAAGTGTGTGGCAGTGATGGGTGTATGGTACTTCGTGGATGGAACGAGGAGCATCAAGCAACGCGCATGGCATCATGCATGATGGAGCATGTGTAGTAGCATGTGGGAGGTGTAATGCTAGTTGGGCCATTTTGTGTGTAGTCTAATGTACTCCATAATCCACACTGTGCTATACAGTGTATATCGTTTGGAAGTTTATTTATAGGTAACAACATGAGAATGTTAAAACATCTAGCCTGCATGAGGCCTTTTGCATAATCAGTTGAAAACTAGGGATGATAGCAAAAGTTGAACCAGATTTGTTGCGATAGAATGCTTAGTGTGCATCTCATTATGGTAATTTGAATAACATACCATACGTTTATGGTTATTGTGATACACATCCCTAACACCAGCTGCTTATTCAACGTGGTGTTGCCACCACCACTCACAATTCAAACTTCTTTCAGACAGCATGCACAATGCAACACACACCTACAACATACACCAAATGCCAAGCAACTCAAACCGTATGTTCCACGCATCCCAACATCAATCACCAACCCCCGGAGTCAGTCTCAAATCCAAGCCTGCTGAAGCCCTTTCAACGTTTTCGCCACGAAACAACAGCCACTCACCCCAAGCAGAGTCACCTTCTTGCCTTCCACAACCGGCAGCAGCCACGCATGCTGCATGTTGTTGCAGCCTAAATCCAACTCCCTCAGCGTAGGAACACGGCTCAGATGCTCCACAAACAGCTTGCTCATGCCGATGCACTGCTGCAGCTTCAACCGCTCCAGCCGCTCAAGCGCTTGCAGATGCACAGCCGCGCCTTGGCTGATGGCCGTTCCCGACAGGTCCAGCGATTACAGCTGCGTCATGCCTTGAATCACCGACCTCACTGCTTGGTCTGCTTCAAACGCGCAAGCAGCCAGGCTGTGTTTTGTGAGCAGCGAGAGGCTTCTCAAGCCCAGCAGGTCAGAATCGTCAAGCGGCGTACTGGTGATGCAGAGGGGTGTGAGGTGTGTGATGCTGGAGAGGGATCGTACTGCAGCCGTGCTGGGCTCTGGTGAGTGCAGCTCCAGGTGTTGTAGACCCGGCAGGGCAGCCACCACCTCCCACATACTCCCATCGATGCGTGTCCTGGGGACTTTTGCATACGCCTGCTGCACCATTCTTGGGAGGCCTTTCGAAGGTGTGGAAGATCTCCGGCAGGCGAGATTTGGAAAATCTCAGCTTTGGGCCGAAGTCATGGTCATGATCGTTGGATCCGCGGCTTTTGAGAAGGATTGCTGGTGCCAGCTGCAGACTCTTCAGGTTCTGCAGTCCCTTCAGGTGCATCCATCCCCTGGAACTCACCCTCTTTCTGCACGTGCAGGAGAATACCTCAAGGCTCGTCAGCACCCCCACCTGCTGCAGCATAGAGTCGGTCACGCAGCTCACATGCAGCTCCTTCAAGCCTGCAAATGGCTGAAATGGCTGGAATTCGCTGGCAGAGGGATCAGATGGGGGGGGCAGGTTGGCTTGACGGTTGGCCGGTCGGTTGGAAAGCAAGGCAAAGGGCTTATAGCAGGCGATGACGAGGCGGTGGAGCTGAGCGGCGGACTGGAAGAGTGGCAGGGCGTCTGAAGCGATAGAAGCTGCGTAGAAGTGAAGTGCTGTGAGAGAGGGCAGGCAGAGGAGCTGAGCCGCGACTACTGGCTTGACCATGTCAGGCTGCTGGCTGACATCGGTGAGGACAAGGGTCGAGATGGCTTCCAGGAAGCCTGGGTAGCAGTGGGGAGTGAGCAGGAGGTAGTAGCCCAGGGATTAGGTACAGAGAGAGAGAGCCTTTTCACGCTTGTGTCTTGGTTTGCGAGGCAATCAACCACGTCGTCGATTCTTTTTATAGTACTGTCTTGCTCCTCGGGGTGGATGTGCAGCAGCAAGCTGTTGACCGTTCCCTTCAGCCGTGCCATCACCTCCTCTTCGCTTGCTCTCCCACGCACCTTAACCGGGCTGCCCTTCTTCACTGGCCATAGGAACCCACCCCCCATCGGCCATGGAAGCCCACTCCCCACCGCCCATTGCTGTCCCACCCCCATCGGCCAAGGGAACCCCCTTCCTACTGGCCATTGGGGCCCCCACCCCACCTGCATTCCTCCTGCTATCCCCGCCCAGTCCTCTGCTCCCATGTGCGCATGCCTCTCCTCCACAGTAGTGGTAACCGCTCCTCCTGAATCCAGTCTCGCCCCCCCTCTGCTCCCCGCACTGTGGCCGACGGAGATGAGAGGCTGAGGTAGACCAGATGGGGGAAGGGTGGGATGAGGGCACGAGTGAAAAGAGTGGAGAACCGTGAGTGCGAGAGGGGGAAGCGGGCATAAATGCATGGAGGAGGAGGATCAGAGGAGAATAGGAGGAGGGTTGGGATGTGACTGATGTCAAAACTGATTTATATGTTTGTAGGCTGTAGTGGGTTAGCCTGTATAGAGTACAACACTTTTAGGGTTTGGTACTTGTACTTTGATTCCTTGCTAGTGAACTCATTCTTGCTCGTTAGTTCTTAACATGGTTTCAAAGCAGTAGGTCCGGAGGAACGTTATTTCTCAAGCCCACCATTACCCAGTGACCGACTGCGGTTACCGCGTTACCCCATGCCCTGCCCTGCGCTGCGCCGTCAGCGCGCGCCCTGGCTTGCCCTGCCTTGTGTCACACTGCCCGTGAACGCCCTGCCCTGCGTCGCGCTGCCCCGCGCACGCCCTGCCCTGCCCCGCGTCGCGCTGCCTCGCGCACGCCCTGCCCTGCCCCGCGCCCTGCTACCCTACGCGTCGTGCCCTGCTGCAGACCGCGCGTCGTGCTCTGCTGCCCCTCGCGTCGCGCTCTGCTGCAGCCCGCGCGTAGCGCCCTGCTGCCCTGCTCGTCGCGCCCTGCTGCAGCCCGCGCGGCGCGCTCTGCTGCAGGGCACGTCGCGCTCTGCTGCAGCCTGCGCGTCGCGCCCAGCTGCCCCGCGCGTCGCGCCCTGCTGCCCCGCGCGTCACGCCCTACTGCAGCCCGCACGTCGCGCCCTGCTGCCCCGCGCGTCGCGCCCTACTGCAGCCCGCACGTCGCGCCCTGCTGCAGCCTGCGCGTCGCGCCCTGCTGCCCATCGCGTCACGCACTGCTGCAGCCCGTGCGCCAGCGCCCTGCCCTGCGCCAGCGCCCTACCCTGCGCCAGCGCCCTGCCCTGCGCCAACGCCCTGCCCTGCACGCGCTGGCGCCCTGCCCTGTGCCAGCGCCCTGCTCTGCGCCAGCAACCTGCCCTGCGCAAGCGCCCTGCCCTGCGCCAGCGCCCTGCCCTGCGCCAGCGCCCTGCTAAACCCTAAATAAAAATATATATATATGAAAGGCCCTAGGTGCTTCTGCCCTAGGAGCTACTGCCTGCTGCTGCCTGGTACTGCCCTGCTCTGGCCGCGCGCCGCCCTGCTCTGGCTGCACGCCGCCCTGCTCTGGCCGCGCGCGCCCCTGCTCTGGCCGCGCGCCGCCCTGCTCTGGCCGCGCGCCGCCCTGCTCTGACTGCGCGCCGCCCTGCTCTGGCCGCGCGCCGCCCTGCTCTGGCCGCGCGCCGCCCTTCTCTGGCCGCGCGCCGCCCTTCCCTGACCGTGCACCGCCCCGACCTACCCTAGTGCCTCCTCGCCGCCCTTCCTGCCCTGCGTGCTGCCCTGCTGGTCGCATGACTTCCTTTCACAGCAGCGGTGGGAGTGGTGGCGGCGGTGGCGGCAGCAGTGGGAGTGGTGGCGGCCTCAGTAGCATTCGCTTTGGAGCTGTTCGGTGGGGAGTTTATGCGGTGGCCAGATGCAGCTGCAGCGACGTTCGAGCGAGACCCTTACGCCCCAGCAGCTTCGTGAGTGGTACGCCCGTAGATGTAAGCGGCGGCAGTAGTGGCAGTCGCGGTGCAGCTAGTTGGTTGGGAGTTTCTGGCAGTGGCCTGGTGCAGTGCAGCCGCGTCCGCGCGAGACCCTTACGCCCCAGCAGCTTCGTGAGTGGTACGCTCAGTGTGGGGGGTCTTTGAGTAGTGCCCGCTGCCAGTACGTCATTCGCACAGGTGATCGGGCTGGTCAGACATGCAGGACACCTGGCCACACACAGTCCCGCTGCTTAACCTGTCTGAGCGACACCTGGCTTGCAGAGTTTGGCGACGCAGCTGAGCTCCCCCGCTGGCTAGAGCTGCTTAGGCAGGGCGTCGATGTCTTTGCGCTAGACTATGACGCCATCCTTACTGCCATGTATGCATTGACTGCTAGTGCTGAGGGTGACTGTTACTTGTGTATGCCACCCGAACCAGGTATAGAGGCTGCTACTCTAGGTGCTGTGAGTCTGCTCTCTCTGGTACTGCGCCTGCTGAGGCCTTACACACCTTCACGCTTGACTCAGGTGCTTCCCGCTGTTTCTTTCGCGACACTACCACAGTCACACCACTCCCTGCACCTGTTGCTGTCAGACTGGCTGACCCTTCAGGGGGCCCAGTTCTTTCCCGTTCTACCACTGTTCACCCGTGTCCGGCGGTTCCGTCAGGCTCACTCTCAGGTCTTCACCTCCCCGTTCTCTACGAACTTGGTAAGTACCGCTGCCCTCCAGGATGAGATGGTTGATACCTTTACTCCTAGGGGTCAGCGTGGGTCGATCTGCACGTGTGCACGGACGGGCCGTCACCTGGCCACGTTCACCCGTCGGCCTGGGTCGAGTCTGTACACACTGACTACTGAGCCTCCCCAGGTAGCTGCGTCTGCGTCCGCGTCAGGTCAGCTTGCGGCCCCCTGCTCGTGTCACGCCCTGTCGCACCAGACTCTCCTTTGGCACCACCGCCTTGGTCACCCCTCCCTGCCACGCCTCCGTGGCATGCACTCCCGCTACCTTGTCTCTGGTCTTCCCAGGTCTCTGCCTGCCCTCCCACGCTCGTCTGCCCCACTCTGTCTTCCTGCGTTGAGGGGCAGCAGCGCGCCGCTCCTCACTCCTCCTCGTTTCCCCCGACAAAGGCTCCCTTGCAGACTCTTCACATGGACGTGTGGGGCCTAGCCCTCGTCCGTGGATAGGGCTGCGAGCAATACTTTCTGCTGGTTGTTGACAACTACTCGCGTTACATCACGGTCTTCCCCGTGCGCAGCAAGGGGGAGGTCTCTGATGTTTTGATCCCTTGGATCCGTTCTGTCCGTCTCCAACTTCGCGAGCGGTTCCACTCAGACTTTCCTGTCCTGCGTCTGCACTCTGACAGAGGTGGTGAGTTCGCCTCCAACCTCTTGCGCGACTTTTGTCGTGGGGAGGGCATCCGCCAGACGTTCACGCTTCCGGCCTCTCCGCACCAGAATGGGGTTGCTGAGTGCCGCATTGACTTAGTCATGGAGGTCGCTCGTACCTCTATGATCCATGCGGCTGCCCCCCATTTTCTGTGGCGGTTTGCAGTTCTGTACGCTGCGCATCAGCTCAACCTCTGGCCCCATGTCTTTTTGCCGGAGACCTCGCCCACACTACGTTGGACGGGGGAGGTTGGCGATGCGTCGGTGTTCCGGGTCTGGGGATGTCGTGCCTTTGTCCGCGATGCTTCCGCGGACAAGCTCTCCTCCCGCGCTGTTCCCAGTGTCTTCCTTGGCTTTCCCCCTGACGCATCTGGCTGGCAGTGGTACCACCCCACCACGCGCCGTGTCTTCCCCTCTCAGGATGTCACGTTTGACGAGTCGGTCCCCTTTTACCGTCTCTTTCCCTACCGCACTGCCCCTCTCCCCCCCCCCCCCCCGCCACTCTTCCTCGCTCCAGGTCCCCCTCCGGTAGACCCCCTCCCCCCTCATGGTCCTGCTCCCTCAGGTGTGTCTCAGGTAGACCCACTCCCCTTGGTTGAGCCAGTCGAGGTCACAGGTGACTCAGGTGCTACGTGGGGTGCTGAGCCTGCGGGTGCGGAGCCTGGGGGTGCTGAGCGTGAGCGTGCGGAGCCTGGGGGTGCTGAGCCTGAGCGTGCGGAGCCTGGGGGAGCTGAGCCTGCGGGTGCTGAGCCTGAGCGTGTGGAGCCTGGGGGTGCTGAGCCTGAGTGTGCGGAGCCTGACGAAGCTGAGCTTGCGGGTGCGGAGCCTGGTGTTGCTGAGTCTGGGGGTGCTGCGCCTAGGGGTGCGGAGCCTGGTGCTGCTCCACTACGGTAGTGTTGGTGCAACCCTACGGTTTGCACTCGGCTTGTTGTCCGTGTGCGTGCATGCGTGTGTGCATGGAATGGTATGAGGGCATGAAATAATATATATTTCATGTTTACAATAGTGTGTGTATGATGAAGCATGATTTTGAATGTGTGCGTCGAGTCAATAGCGAGTTATCGCTAGTCGCGTGTCACGTCGTCGTTTGCGTGTCGTGTGCGGTTTTCTATTTTGTCGTGTGTGGAACATTCGGCGTGTCGCAGGTGTGCGCAGCAGACTTCCAAGAACTCAAGGAAGAATTTACCTTGAAGAACCAGAGCCTTGGTTTCAAGATTCAAGTTATTTCGAAGCTCTCCAAAAGGGTAAACTTTAAGATAGTGAGAATAGTTGCATTACTTTGTGTAGTGTAACATTTCTCTTGGTGTAGGCCCTTGTGGAGGGTAGTTTCGAGACCCTTCGTGGTTGGGGACAGTGTGGCACTGTTCCACATCACTGTACCTCGGCTCTTGGGGTTTGTAGGAGCTGGGAGTCATTCCCAACTCGTAACTCTTCCTATCTTGTGTTCTAAGACTATAGTGGCTGCCATAGTACCGTTCGTTCAAACCGACGCTGTGTCGTCAATTCTTTATCAAATCGTGCAATCTAAATTGCTAATTGTAGATGACGTGAAGACGCTCCAGATCCAATTTGAATCAGGTCATTTGCAGCTGTGAGCAGAACGCTATCAACGTTTGAAGCCGCTGTGCAGAAATCCGTCTGTGCTCTCTATCTTTCGTTTTAGGCACATTCAAGCCTATTGTGACTATAACAAGTGGTATCAGAGCCCCTTGGAGCAGTTTCGACAATGTCTGGACCTGAGGAAAGGGGTGGCAGAGGTGCTGGTGGCAGTGGAGAAGCTCAAGCTCAAGGCCAACCCCGTGATTCAGCCATGGCGCCCATGCAACCAAGTCTTGGCCCACCTAGGGATGAGCCTAGGGTGTTTGGGCTTGACAAGTTCAACGGTGACAACTTTGCTGAATGGTCCTTCAAGATGGAGAACATCTTTGACCACTATGACCTGCTGGAGGTGATGGAAGGAACGGAGAAGCGCCCCGAGAACGACCCGGAGAAGAGCCCGTGGGTGCGGAAGAGCGCACAAGGCTATCTCTTACTTGGGCAAGCGTTGGGGAGCAGTCAGATCCGTCACATCAAGCCATTCCAGCGTGAACCAGAGAAAGGACCAAAGGCATGGGCTGCTC